AATACAACTTTCGGGGCCGATTGTACATACCGGGACATAATGGGATGACCTCCCACATAAGTGGGGTCATCCCACGTTTTAATGGGTGCTGATTGACCAAATAATGGGGAGGGGAGGCAACCACACACGGGTGGTGCGTGTAAGGGGATGGGAAGCCTCATAGGGACAAAACCCACACCCCATTCTTGGTCCTATCTTGAGAGTAGTTGGAAGGAGGTACTCCTCCTCTACCCTATGAATTATTTCGGCCAGAGCATAGAGAGGGAGTTCTAGGGAGACTTTTCACCAAGACCAAGCTCAAAGAAAGCAAGAAGGAAGGGAAATCCAAGAGGAAAAGCTAGAAGAAGGGGTAAGAACACAATTTCTACTCTTTTAACTAGTTTTATTGTGTCTGATTTTTAAGAAATCATATGGTGGATTAAACCATGAGTTCTACACGTTTAAAAGTGTAGAGTATTGATATAAAGTGGTGGTAATTAACTTAGAAGGGTTGGCAAATCGATAGGAGTCGAAATCGCAGGAAACCGCCACTCCAAGGAAGCTGTTCGTAGTTGCAGACTACGAAAGCCGCCCGGCTTTCGTGAAAGCCGCCCGGCTTTCGTGAAAGCCACCCGGCTTTTTCCCAGCAATCCAGTTTTCCACTTTCAATCGGCCTAGAACGGGGATTGATCGAGGAGCTTAACAAAGGCAACTATTTCAGCACTTCATAAGGTGAGGATGTCTGACTATATTGCTTATAATTGTTGGGTTAATTTCATAAGATTACCTGAGGTATTAAAAGTGATTTTCATGGATTATTAATGAGTAATAATGCTTAATGAAAATACTATTGATATGAGTGAATGAAGCATGATATACAAATTTAGAATAAATTGTGTATGATTATGTGACATGAACGGGATGTCATCATGATGGAATTAACTATGTATAAAATATACTTTTACATCATGTATGAAATTCATGAATGGATAAAAGTGATATTTTTTATATTGGGATCAAATTATATTTGGATTGGAAAATCAATTGAAAAGAAATGTCAATTTGAATTAAGAACTTGATATGTTCTAAGACAAACCTACTAGTATTAAAATACTAGTCGTGAGAATAATATAATGGAATTAATCCTAAGGGATAGGATTGTGAATAGATTTGCCTTAAGTAGTCTTAAGAGATACTTTAAGGTTGAATTAAATGAACACTAAGGTGTGTTAGGGTAAGCCTAAAGGCTACCCAAGTGGGTTGATTCTAGGCATAGGATTTGCTTGAGAATTGGACTACGAAAATGAATTAGAGTCAGACTCTAGGATTGCATGGAAATATAGTTGGGCCGATCCCTTGCCATGTAATGTGGTTAGCATGGAAACGTAGTTGGGCCGAACCCTTGCCATGTATTTGTGATCTTCGTGGAAATGTAGTTGGGCCGAGCCCTGGCCACGAAGTTGTGGTTGGTATGGAAACGTAGTTGGGCCGAGCCCTTGCCATATAATTTTAATGTGTTAAATTGAGTTGAAGGGTTGTATAGAAATGTAGTTGGGCCTATCCCTTGCTATACAATCGGGACTCGAGGGAACCCTATGGGGTTGGCGTGACTAGTAGTCACGGGGAATTAAAATGGTGAATTCTAAATGAATATGTGCCCACGGGCCGATTACTTGACTTTATATAAAGTAAGTACGTTTTAAAAAAAAAAGGGGATAACCGAGGGTTATGGCCTATAATATGATATCACCCTAGATTGAGGGTCTTTGAAATTGAAACATTGATTATACTTAGTATAGTTGTCATCGTACTTGTCAAATGCTTCCAAGTATTGACCTCCCCTTCACGGGGGAGGCCACCTCACAGTTTCAGGTAGGAGCTGAGCTTGCTACCATTGTCTGTGGCTTCGAGAAGATTCTAGGAGAGAAGACGTGGTTCGTGCTTCCTCCGTTTCTGTTTCAAAAACAATTATAATAATGCTCATGGATATTATTTTTCTGAACAATCATTTGGAGGCTTGTATGCCCATGTTTGCCAAAGTGTGGCTAAGACACTTTTATTAAATGCTTCCGCTGTTTTAAATGAATGTTTTACATTATGTTTGTTTATGGATGTACTACGTGTGGATGGTATTCAAGACGCCTTGTATAGTATGGATGAGTTGGACTGCGGTTGACTATTCGTACTGTACGACGGGTTGTTGACGTGTCCGGCTAGGTCTGGGGCGTGACATTAAATCACTTAGAGGGGCTTTTATTAAAGATGACCAATCATATATGCTTGGATGGCTGGATGGACCGAAAGCTGACTGATAAGCCGAGAAATAAGGTCACCAAACAAGCTCTTCGTTTAAATTCAAGTTCGTGAGACGCGGCGGCGAGAAAAATAAGAAACAACTGAAAACTTTTAAAAACCATATTTCCAATCAATGGCCAGAATTAGCAAGGTGCTATTTTTGCAAGTATTTTACAATATTTACAACATGGACCCCGTTAAAAAAGATTATGAATACGCAAATTATACCGTGGGATCGGCCCACCATGAGCATGGTGTGCCGATCCCAAAACGGTACAGTTTTATGCTTCCTATTAAAAAAAAGAGCAAATCGCCGGATCCCCTTCATCTCCTTCATTGTTTCATCTCACCATGGAACTCCGCCGCATGTGGGACTAGAGGTTTCGATGTCGCCCCATGGCCTTCCCTGAAATTGGTTGCACCGATGTAAAGATTAGATCTATTGCTAGTGCAGGCGCTATGAGCATCTCAACGTCATCCTTCTGCGGATTGAAGTAAACATCGGCGATATGGGGCTATCCCTTATTTCTGAAGTTTGCAGGTGTGTATTTTGGATCTGGAGTCCGTATGTGTGGGCCAATATAATGACTTCAAGCTAATTTTTTGTTTTAATCTATATGTATAATAGTAATAATGTTTTTAATATGAAAGTTCAGATTCTAATGATGAAGACTCACCTTCTTACATCTTACTCACACTCAAGTTACACCGGTATTTGCCTAAAGTTACATATCTATTAGCGTAAGTTACATATCAACTTTTTTCATCAAGTTACATCTCGCTTACATGTAACTTACATTTTTCATAATGCGAGTTACATCACAATACATTGCGAGTTACACAACACAATAAGCTCTGTTATTAAAAAAAATATTTTCATAAAAAACATTTTTATAGATCTAATATTAAAAACAAAACATATACAATATTTATGTAAAATAATTGGGCAATTAGACTTCTTCTTTTCATTATTTACATTGAAATCAATATTTTATTTTTTATACTATGTATTTTGACAAGTTACATTTCGAACGGACGAGAGTTACATTGATCAATAACGTGAGTTACATATCTTTACACGCGAGTTACATCATTCATGCTACTGGGACAAAAGGAAAAAACAGGACGCGTGTACTGTTCACGCGTGTACTGTTCATGCGAATTTTTTTAAAAAAATTTAGGTAAAACTGCGTCGTTTTGGAAGTGGAGCACCATCCTCACCGTGGGATGATCCCACGGTTAGGCTTGGATTCGGTTCGGGCCACCCGGCCCGTGACCCGGCCCGGCCCGGTACTGTGCGGGCCTGGGACCGGCCCGGTACTGTGCGGGCCCGGGACCGGCCCGGTCGGGTGGTCCGGGACCGGGTCTGGGCCCGAACCGGGGGGAAGGGGCGGGGCGGGCTCGGTTCACCAATTTTGCGACCCGGCCCGGCTGGGTCGGGCTCGGGCCCGGGTCGATCAATTTTAAAAAAAAAAAAATTTTTTTGGGTTGGGCTCCTACTAGCCGTTGGGGGTGGGGCTGGGGACAACCCAAACGGCTATATAGCCGTTGGGGGGGTTATAGGGGGGGTCCGGGGGGGTTGGGTGGTGGGGGGGGTGGTGGGGGGTGGGGGGTAAAAAAACCTATAAATACTCCTAATCTTAAACATTTTTTCATCTCTTCTCCAATTCTTCCTAAATCCTATTCTTAACTCTCTACTCTTTAATTCTCTTATTCTCCATTCTCCAATATATTATATTTATTATTTATAGTTTATATTAATTATCTACTTATATAAACTATAAATAGATATAAATAGTATTATATTACTTATATTTGTTATCTAATTATATATTACTTATATATTTATTATATCTATTAATATAGTTGGAATTATATCTAATTAATTTGAAGTCATTCTATTACTCCCATCCGAAAGACCGAAAGTCCGAAAGAGGTACGAAATTATTCTATTATTTACACTTGTTTAATTACTAGTTAATTAGTATAGTTGGAATTACGATTTTTTATTAATATAGTTGGAATTACAATTTTTTATTAATTGCTACATTTGACTCTAGTTTAAAAAATATGTTGTACACAAATAGTTAATTAGTTTTTTACAATTTTTTATTAATTTGCTACATTCCGATTAAAAACAATTATAGTTCCTATTTAATTTTCAAATGTAGTTCCTATTTCATTTCAAATAAATGCACTTGAAGTTTGTTTTTAAATACTTGTATAAAACTATAAAGTATAAAATATAAATTTTAAATAAAAAAAAATTACCCGGCCCGACCCGGCCCGGCGGGTGGCCCGACCCGTGACCCGGGCGGGTGGCCCGGCCCGAACCGGACCCGTCCAACCCTCGGGCCGGTCCCGGGCCCACTATTCTAGAACCGGCGGCCCGACCGGGCCTAGGCCCGGCCCGGGCCCGACCCGAATCCACCCCTACCCACGGTATACGAACTGCTATGAATATGCTAACCAATGATTAAATAAAACTGAAGTATGAGATTATATGTGTGAGCTAACGTACATCATTTTCCAGGTTTACAAACTAAACCATTTTAATAATTGAATAGACAACAGATGTAGACATGTAGTACAAATCTACTTTGGATTTAGTACAAAAATAAGGAAAATTCCCGATATATGAGTGAAAAACGTTTTAGAATTCTAAAGTAGTAGTAGTATGTTTTATCTCCCTAAATAAGAGTACATTACAACCTTTCTGAGAAATTTACCGTCATACCTAATGTTGCCAAACTTTAAATATCACAGTATAAATAGCATTATTTCCAAACATGGAAATAATTATCCATATTTAGAGAATAAAAATATAGTGATTACATTTTGGGATTCTAAACACTTTTACTCCTATACCAGAACCTAATTAAGAATCCGAAAATCTGAAATATAACATAATTAAGAATCTATTGACCAAAACCTAGACATTGCAATGATTTACAAGTAGAAGAATAAAAATACCCTATAATCCTATATAGCAGACTTTAGCAGTCAAAATTCTTATACGGAGTATATTCTAAAGAAAGGAAGTCAGACGTCTTCAATCTAATGTGTATGATGGATGAAGATACAAGTGAATATTAGATTATCATTTAAGAGCTAGAGAAATCGGGCTCTTCTGGCTTACATAGTTGTGACATCTTGAGACTGGATGATGAAGGTGCCGGCGTAGTTATCTTAACTTTTTGCATGACCCCCCTTCTTGTATTTGCTGCAAATTTGGAGGCCAACATTGTGGGTCCAATATGCTGCGGTGCATGAGTGTCCACACCATCATATTCTCCAGATGATGATGATGATGATGATTCATCGTTTACACCCGCTAAATCCGTGGGCGGCATGTATTGATAATAGCATGTCTCATGCAAAGACAGCTCTTTGGCCAACTTTTTCTTTTTGTACCTTCTCCATGCAGACTGGATATAGCAGGCGCCCCAGGTCCTCCACTGCTGAGAATAGTGTCGAAAGGCATGCTGCAGCCTCTTACTGTGGAGATGTTTGAACTGAACGGCAAAGAACTTAAGGTCCTCAGCGCGAAGCGCAAATGCCTCAACCTCGCACCGTGTTCGCACGGTGCGAGTTGAGGAAGGCAGGTTTAGTGAAGAGTTGGGGAGTAGAGCCCATGTGAGTAACTCCTCCCCGCAAAAGTCTCCGGGCCTGAGGTCATAAGTATTGTAGAATCCTGATCTTCCACCGTTGGTTGTGGAGCTTTGGAGTGTACCCCTAATGATGAAAAGCATCTCGCTCACCGGATCACCCTCCCGTACAATGTACGTGTCTTTTGTACTCAAAGATGACACTAGCCGTTCACAAATGGCATCAAGCAGTTGATCATCCATCTGTGCAAAGAATGGAACCTGCCATGCATGTAGTATGCACGTATGTAGATCAAAGACAAAATTATTACTCTGTAGTATAGGAGCTATGACTCAAAGACAAAGATGGTGATTCCTTAAATACGGAGTATGATTTATTTTTATATTGATATGTGTGTTTTGGTGCTACATAAAATTTGTTCAATTTTACTACTTTAGATAGCTACTATATACTCCGTATATATATATATAGAGAGAGATTAATCATCCGGTCAGGCCTTCCTGACCGGAACCGCCATCCAGACGGCGGTGTTTGGGGACCTTCCCGGTGGAGTTTTTTGATGAAATTTTTAAGGCATGTTCTCCATCAAGTCTAGTTCATTCTCAAAAACAATCAGCTAAAAATTCAATCTGGAAGATACTCAAATAATTTTTGGAAAAATATACATATAAAACGCAGTTATCTTCCAAAAATTGTTTGACTGTCTTCCCGATTGAATTTTTAGCTGAAATGTTTTGTGGATAAACTAGACTTGATGAAGAACATGCCTAAAAAATTTCATCAAAAAAGGCAGGCGGACGGCGGTTCTGGTCCGGAATTCCGCTTCTCTCTCTCTCTCTCTCTCTCTCTCTCTCTCTCTCTCTCTCTCTCTATATATATATATATATATATATATATATATATATATATATATATATATATATATATATATATGCTTCGTATATACGTACGTACTCTGCGAACGAGGTTAAGACAAAGATGTCTCTGAATCTCACGACGAAGATCCAGTGGTAAGGATTTTAAGATAGATTCTTCCTTCACTCCTCTGGTGGCCAGCCATTTGTATTGCTCAAATTGACGAACACGTCTTTGCAGATCTGGTGGTAACTGGCGATGCCTCATCCATTCTTCTGTATCTCTTCTTCTAATCCTCCACTCCTCAAGTCTCACCGTCAGAGATTGCAGGTAAGTCTGATCTTCAAAGGAAATATATAATTATGTTTTATTATTAATTATCATTAAGCTAGCCAGTTCACCAAAAACACAATGCTACATGCATATTTCTAGATTGAACTACGTGCTCTAAAGTTTGAGGTTCAAACATCATGAGCGTACGTTAGAATTGAATATCATTGACAAACAGAGAAACAAAAATATATAGAAATCTTGGACATCGATCGTATGCATGGGGAAGATAGAGATTGTCCTCCTTTGGGTAATATAAATAAATCAAGAAACTAACATAAGAGTATAACACAATTATACTGTATAGTCTCACGTGAAATTGATTCCTTAAATAAAATATCCATGTATTGATGATTTGAAATGGATTTTGTGTTATATGTACATTACTTACTATTAAATCTATCACCAGCATGCATTACAAAATGTAAGAACAGAAAATGGTGCAAGTAAACAGTCGTGTGCTTCTTGAAACTTGTGTTGTTTTTTATGTTTAGCAAAACTGATACATTGGTTTGAGAATATATAGATTCGTCGTTTAGGTAGTATATATAATAGCTATAATGGCATACTAATTAATGCCTTTGTTTCATTTTATAAAGTCAATGTCACCATAGTTTGGTATGAGATCATGACTTGAGAATGATAATATTAAGGTAGGATTAAGAAGCTAATTAAAATAACAAATGCTTACCTGCATGTTCCCAATCAAATGAGAAAATAGAATTAAACCAATGATACACACGGAAATACAAAAGACTGTTTCCCCAATGTAAGTGCTAGTCATCAAATTCTGTCCATATGAACTGCATAGAACATTAATTACTTGAGCAAAGTTGAAATGTCAGAGATAAGGCTTAAACTTTGTCAGTGCACTTCTTCACGAAAATAATTTAAAGAACCCAATTGTAAGTCCCCCTCCCCCCTGAAAATAGGAATCCCTTCACTTAATTTCTTTGTAATTATTAAGGATATCTGGAGAAGTGGAGACCATTCCAAAGTAAGAAGGAAACTCCACAAACTCGCACAAGTGTGTGATGCAATATGATTCATAAAGGCAAATTAAAAGGGCAGTCGAGTGGAAGATGGTGCATGTGTGTACTGTATAAATTACCTCAAATTTCTTAAGCCCCACCAGAGACAGTAGAGATACTTCTCAATAAATCGAGAGGATGCAACTTCACTGGTGAAGGCATCAGCAAACATTCCGAATTTGAAATCAGAGTCCTCATTATTAGGATCACAACGCGAGAGCAATGATGTGGTGTTGAGCCAGTACTCCCGCTCCAGCGTATGGGAAGTCACGCTCTCACAGTCCAGAAAACTCGGCACGCACGGTGGCACCGCATTCTGCTCAATTTTACACTGCATTGTCCAGCAAGAGTGCTGTCGCCCAATCGACGACAGGTACCATGAAGCCCCTAGTACCTGCATGCGCCTCCGCCCACAACCATCACACCCGGCCACTAGTGTTAGTTTATACAATTGCACTCTCCGTCTGTTAAGCAACTTTTTAAATTGAATAGTACGTAGTATGTACTTTAAGAAATGACCTTTTAGTGAAGTGAAACAAACACTTGAGGTAGAAATGCAGAGGATTAGAGGATCATTTCTATAAAGGTCATTTCTATAAAACGGCATTCTAGAAATGACCTTTTATAGAAATACATACGGAGTATAATATAGAGGTTCATTTCTAGACAGTCCCTTAGTTCTTTCAGTTGATTTATTGAAATGACCATTTTACAAAGACTAAAATATAATTGGAGCTCTGTAGTGTAGATTGGGTTGACACAAATTAACGGTATTCGACACTGTAAGAAAATATCAGAATAAAAAGATAATCATATGTTGAGTTAATTAGGAAGTCACAGAAAGGGATAAATCAGGTCTATTGGTGAAAATTTGATGAAGAAAAGAAGTACTATACAAGGAAAGATTTACTAAGTAATAGGGAGTATTAATTATATACTCAGCTCCCTGTATGATTATGATTATAATTATAATGATTACATACATGGCTGGCTAACATGAAGAGGATAAGGTTATATGCCGCTCCTGCCCAAGCTGTTTTAGCAATAAAGCCGGTTGTTTTGATAATCCTCTGATTTAAGGGGATGCTAACGAGCAACCTGGGAAGGTATTGAATGAGGACGATAAGAGCAATGGTATTGTTGTCGTGGCCGGAGCCGTTGCCTTTGGTGGCCGGAATCACATACCAAATCACAATCTGCCGGCATGAATGAATGGAATATAAACACGTACGTACTGGAAAGAAAGCTTTATTAATGAAATAAATGGGAATTGGATGATGAATGAATGAATTACCTACCTGAGGTAAAGGGAGGGTGGCTGCGAAATCAATGATGAAATCGGATTTGAGATAGCGCATAGCGATTTCTGTGGAGTCCATGACCAGCTCGCCCCGACCAAAAACCCGGGAGCTGGGGGCGACGAAGGCGGTGCGGAATTTGAGGAGCATGTGGAGAACGTAGAAGAAGTCGGTGAGAGTGCGAAAGTAGGTTATGGCGACGGAGGCGCTCTTGTCGGTGGACATGCAGGCCTTGCCGCCCACGTACGGCAGGTAGAAGTACAGGGGATCTATGGACAGGGAGATGAGGCAGGTGACCAGGAAGATGTGGTTCCACAGGTTCACAAAGCCGCTGCTCGGATCCAAGATCTTGTCTCTCCATCCCACCCCCTCCTCCTGTTCCCCATCGCCTTCCTCTGCCGACCTCGCTGCGCTGTCGGAATATAAACATCGCCGGTACCGGCGGAGCCGTGACGCCGGCCTACACAACAATCTATCCATCTTCCATGGGGCGCGCTCCGACTCCCATTTCAAATTACTAATTAATCAATTGGATAATCTCTGGTATGGTACGGTGCATGCTAGCTGCGGCCGGCAGGTACCTAGCCAGCTAAAAATTAACCCAAAAGTGTGCGATCTAATGTCAATAACAACAGCTTGGCCAATAACAAATTAACCTAGGCGCCTGGTCTGCAGGTAATCAATCTAATGCCAATAACAACAGCTTGGGACTTGTCGCTCGATCGGAAACAATGCCGGCTAGGTATATACTTATGGTAGAATTATTAAAGCGACGCTCGCTCGTTGGCCGGGGAAATGAACCTACCGTGAGGGGGAGGAGGGTTCGTTATTCTCTTGTTTGCAATACGCAAGAGATGGAGGGAAATGCCTCCAGGCCATATCGTTCCTGAGCTGATTTTATATCCCCCCTTTTTCCATCATTATTTTTTTTGAAAATAAAAAAACAAATTTAATTATATGAAAAATTGAAAATAATAATCTCAACTATTTACACGTACGCTATTAATAATCTCAACAATAAATTATTCTTGAGTGCTCCGAACTATATGAACCGTTTTTAAAAAATAATCTCTAACCTGCTATAACATGGCATAACATGTCAAATTTAAATATGAACTATGCGTAAGCTATAAATAATCCGAACTATAGTCGTTCTTCATTTACTAATCCCAATTATCAACTCTCAATTTAAAAAAAAATTATAAATTACCAAATTAAATATTTTTAAACATCTAAAAACAATTAAGATAATTTACAAATGTACCGAAGTTAAATAAAAATATTTTTAATCATTTTTTACTTATTTTCACTAAAATTTAATTTTTTTCAATTTATTTTTCCTTGCTGTGTTAAAAAGTTATGATTTTCTATTATTTTCCTTTATTCAATTTTACCTTTTGTGTTTTCAAAAAGTATATTGTGTTTAAAAAGAATTTGGATTTAAATCTTTATTCTAGATTTTTTCATAAAAATCTATTTTACTAAATTTTTATGCTATCTCAATTGTAAAAATCAATTTGAACGGAAAAGATCACATGAATCCTTCTATATCGCTAACTTTGCAATAATTTAGTCAAGTCTAACATATTTGGTGAACTTGCTACTCCTAATAAAAAATAGGAAAAATTGACAAGAATAATCCCACCTTTCACTGATCTTCTCATAATAATCCTACCTTTACATAATCCCAAAAATAATCCAACATTTGCACCCTATCTTCTTTCATTCGACCCTGACCAAGTTTTTTACCTTTCTTTGAAAATCTTATATAAATAATCTCACATTTATAAAGATATAATAGAAAAGTGAGAGGTAAGATTATTTATATCATTTTCAAAAAAAGAGTAAAAAACATGGTCAGGGTCCAATGAAAAAAGATGGGGTGCAAAGGTGGGATTATTCTGGAATTACCTAAAGGTGGGATTATTATGAGATGACCAGCGAAAGGTGGGATTATTTTTGTCAATTTTTCCTAAAAAATAAAAAATTACAAATAAAAAACGGCTTCACCAACCACCGGAAAGGGAGAATTGATTTGATCAGCAATGAACAGAGGAAACTCTATTGATCCGAAATTATCAGTCATCAGTTTTACCAGTGACCAAAAAGGAGATTCAGTTGAGCGCTTAGATTTTCCCAAAGCGAGGCGGTGGTTTAGGGGGAGGACGAATAACTGAAGCCTCAGAGCAACAAAGTTGAAAAGGCTTTGACAACAATAAACAATGAAAATTCACCAGATCGATTACTCTGATGAGAAATCCACAGATCGCTAGGAGAAAAACATACCACACACTCACATGAAGCATAGTAGAGAACATCACCATCTTCCAGAACCATTGATGTTTGAAGAGGAGAAGATTTGAAAGTCAGATGTGGGAGGTGGGAGATGGCTCCCTTGGGTTTCCCTTAGGGCTGGCCGTCAAAGTATTTCTTTAATCTGTTTTTCCATCATTTAGTTATTTTTTGTGTGCGGTGACTTTTTATTCTGAAACACACTTCTAATTAAGGAAAAAGTCATTTGTACACTTTTTGTACACATTTATTGTACACATCCTTCTAGTTGCCTGTGTACATAGGCAGTTCATTCCGAAGCTCCTGTGTCCACTGTCCACAGGCTACTACGCAGTGTTTACAACAAATGTGTACAATAAAAGTGTACAAATAGCATGACTTTGTAATTAAAGTGTGCAGACACACCTATACTTCCTCCGTTCTTTAAATGTTGCAACAATGAGAATTTGGCATTATTCATACACTTTACTTTGACCAAGAATTTCTACTAATATAAATAATCAAATTATTAGATATAGAATGTTATTAAATTTATATTAATGTGAGTTTTCAAAATATGAACTTTCTATGTTACTATGAAGGTACATATTTTGCTATATGTAACTACCATGCGGGGGGTGGGGTGGGGGGTCCAGAGCTGTTCAAGAGAGTTTGTTCGATGATGAAGTAGGTGTTGGCGATCCTACGTTGCGAAACCATCTTGTGCGAGATGGTGTGTTGTGTGGTTTACCTCCCTTGGTTTCTGCTCGAACGTGAGAGTCCTCGCTTCTACATTGCCTTAAATTGTTGATTGAAAGTTTCAGATTCTTGGTAGAGGTATGATCCAATTGGATTGTTCTTCTCTTATGCTTGTGTTGATTTTGTTCTATGGCGGTTTTTTCTCGGCGCTGATGCTCCGGGGTGGTTTGTCTCTCTCGATGCAGGGAGTTTTGTTGGTGTCTCAGCTAGCTTCTGTCTGCTTTCTTCTAGAGTGCGTATACATTGATAGAGCTCCTCCTCCTCTGAAACTACCTCCTTGTCAGGAAGAGTTTGATGGACAAACTTTATTTTAATTTTATTCTTCCATTAGTAGTACTTGTTTTTATTTTAGTTCAAGTAGATTTGGTTTGGAAATTTCATCTTCTGGTGTACGGTTGATAAGCAGTATTTCAGTCTGGATTGTTTTAGGCTTTAAATTGGATGTTTCGTGTCTAGCGATTCATGTTACTTTGTATGAGGTGCCTGATTCTATGTCTATTCGCAGGGCTCACAATCGAATCTGTCTTAATTGTCTGAATTTTATCTTGTATCTTTCTTAATTTTAGTATAAAAGCCGATCTATTATATTAAAAAAATGAACTTTTTATAATGTTTACTAATACGTAATTGAATATAGTTACAATTGAAGTTGTTAGTTGGCAAACATGAAAGTAAAACCGTTGCAACTTTTTAAAGAACGGATGATAGTGTATAGATTAATGGTCCTGTCAGGGCAACCTAACAAGACTCGCCACCTGGCAGAGGCCATTTGAGTTTTTTCTCGATGGATTTTTTTAATGAAATTTTAAGCATGTTCTTCACCAATTCTAGTTTATGCCCACCAAATTTCAACTTACAATTCAATCCGGAAGATAGTTATATATATATTTGAGGTGGTTCCCGATCGTATTTTTGGCTGGAATATTTTGTATATTTTCCTCATCAAGTCTAGTTAATCCATACCAAATTTCAGAAAAAATTCAATCATGAAGGTTGTCAAATGATTTTTGCATGAAAACTGGTCCGACATATACATATAAAACGCAGTTTTTATGCAAAACTCATTTGATGACCTTCCCGATTGAACTTTTTTCTCAAATTTGGTATGGATGAACTAAACTTGATGAGGAACATACACAAAAACTTTCAGCCAAAATCTCCTCCGGAACCACCTGAAATTGAGGTGGCCGGACAGGAACATATATATATATATATATACATATATATATATATATATACATATATATATATACATATATATATATATATATATATATATATATATATATATATATATCTTAGGAGAAAAATGAGAATCGATCTGGACCGATAGATTTGATTTAAGTGAAATTCAATGTGCATTAGATGAAACTGTAATGTGCATTATGTGAAATTGAAATGTGCACTAGGTGAAACTGAAATATGCAGATTAAAACGTAAGATGTGATGTTATTTTGTACCTTTTATTCCGCACATTTCAGTTTCACTTAATGCACATTTGAGTTTACATTTTTATTCTGCACGTTTCAGTATCATCTAATGCACATTTCAGTTTCACCAAATGCACAACTTACTTCCATATATATATATATATATATATATATATATATATATATATATATATATATAAAGAACACAATTTTTTCAATTACACATTTGTCTGACTTTCCGATTGAATTTTTAGCTGAAATTTGATGGTCACAAAACTAGACTTAATGAATAACATGCTAAAAAAATCATCAAAAAATTCCAGCAAGAACAGTCCTAAGCAAATAGCATTGACTGACGGCATGACCTGTCAGACCGGCTTGATATGAATTGTCCTACACACTTGACATATATCTATAGATTTTCATGTTACACTAGCAGGGATAATTTTCCAAATATTTTTAAAAACCATGTATTGCATTACTCACAAAGAAATTAAAGTCTACACCGAAATGCTCTACATATGTACATGCATTTAATTGAACATTTATTGACGGGGCATAGCTCACATGGTAGGAAGGAAGTGCTACAATGGACACGTTACGGGTTCAGTTCCAAGCAATGACATACGATGGAACCTCACTCTCTGTCCATCAGAATGAGATTAAAGCTCAACTTACAACCTCTCAAATAACCGTCTAGTCGGTTATAGAGGCCCTCGGAGATGGAGTGTCATATATGGTGCATTTAAGTAACACTTTCTTTGTGACTAGTGCAACATGTGATTTTAAGGATGTGTACAAAATTAAAGTCTATTTGCAAGTGTAAAATGACGGCGCATAGAAAGCACGTATTATGTAATATCGTCAAATCTAACGACTCATATTCATTCTCATTTCTTAGTGTTCGAAGAAGGCTCTCCTACTTTGAAATAATTTTGGTGGCTCGAATGAGTTCAACCCAAAAGCATAATTTATATATATTGTTTTAAAAAATTGCTATAAAAAGGAGTCAATATGTTTTTAATCTCTTACTAAAACTTATTTGGGTCTATTAAAATTATGAAACTTCTCCGGAGTGCATGAGTTATATTTTAGAAATAAACACTTATGATTGTATTTGTACATTTCATCTATGTTTTACTCTTATTTACAAAATTTCTCTTAAAATTATTAATATTGTACATAAATAATAACGTTAAAGGATCTACCGAGCTATACACACTTGGAATCTAAGAATACCTCTTAAAAAAGATGAAAAAGTGATATACTTCGTATGGACATTAGCCCTAAAAGAACTAAAATTAGCCCAAAATTCAACAAAAGAACTACAATCCTTTTATTTCCAAAATAGGATTAATATATATCCCTTCTTCCCATCCTACCCCCTTCCTATAATTTCTACTAGATTTATT